TTCCTACACACCCTGCCCCTCCGCCCGAGCGCAGGCCCGAGGCAGGGGAGCGCCCTGCCCTCCCAGCCGGTCCTCCCGGGACCTGGGAAGGGGACGAGGCTGCGTGGACTGCACCCTCAGGCCGCGCCGGCCGCCACACCCGCCTGTCCCCACAGCTCTTCCTGCCGGCTCTTTTTCCCTGAGGACCCGGTGAAGCTGGTGCGGGGCCGAGGGCAGTACCTGTACGACGAGCAGGGCGCCGAGTACCTGGACTGCGTCAACAACGTGGCCCACGGTGGGTACCCGGCCAGCCGCAGCCACCCGTGCAGGGCAGGCCCTGTGTCCCCGCGGGCTGGAGCTTAGTGACGGAGAGGCCAAAGGCAAGGAGCCCAGGCCCCTCTCCTCCACTGCCTCATTCAGCTGCGTGGTCCTCTGCTCAGTTTGCCCATTTGCAAAGCAGACGTGCTGGTAGGGGCAGGCCTGGTGTGTCCATCCGCATCACCTGCCGTGCTGAGCCTGGCAGGTGGCCAGCTCACACACCTGTCAAGGTTATCCTTGGCCTGCGTGGTCACGGCCACCTCCGCCCCCGCAGGTGAACTCAGACCCAGGCCCACCCTGTCAAGCAGAGGCGTCGGAAGCCGCCCCACAGCCTTGGGCGTTCTAGACACAGTTTCTGTGGGTCTCCGGGCTCGGTTCTGGCTCTCCCCGCTTAGTCTTCAGACTCCCGGCTCCGCATGTCTCCCTCCGTAACCAGTCTCCTCTGGCCGGGTTTATAGACTGGGGCTGGGGGCGGCCCCCGGGAACGGCTGAGCCAAGTGACCATGTGACCAAGGTGCCCTCTTCCAGTTGGGCACTGCCACCCTCTCGTGGTCCAGGCAGCGCATGAGCAGAACCAGGCCCTCATCACCAACAGCCGCTACCTACACGACAACATCGTGGACTACGCCCAGAGGCTGGCGCGGACCCTGCCCGAGGCGCTGAGCGTGTTCTTCTTCCTAAACTCGGGGTAAGCGACTGCGGCCAGCAGCCAGAGGGGACAGGGTGGCCAGGGCAGCTGCCTGCTGGCCAAGCGTGGGCCTGGGGCCAGGCGGGCCTGGTGGCATGTGCTTCCTTGTCCCAGCTAGAGGCCCTGCTGCTGGTGCTGTGGGTCTGGCCTCCTGGTCCGAGTGAAGCGTGTGCTGGCTCCTCTGGGCCCACCGGGCTCCATGAGGCAGCTCCTCGGGGCCTGTAGGCAGACTCCCCGCGGAGCAGAAACAGTGAACATCTTCAGAGAGACAGGAAGAAGCGGACAGGGTCCCCTGAGGCTAGACAGAGGGGGCCCGCATTCTGTGGGGCCAGAAGCCATGTCGCACTGAGAGCTGGCCCAGAGCTGGCCCAGATGGCCCGCACGCTCAGCGATACTGTGTCAAGGCCACAGTCTGGGCCCAGGCCCTGCGGCCAGGAGGGGCATGGTGGCCGGGCACACCGAGGGACTGCCAGGCCAGTGCTCACCGCCTCGCAGGGCCTTCCCAGTGCTGGTACCCCGAGAGCTCGGGCAGCCTGAGCGTTGAGTCAGAGACCTGGGGGCGGGCGGGGAGAGGGAGCGGATGCTGCAGGTGCCAACCACGCGGGGTGGTAGTGGAGACGGGGTGTATCGGAGAGAACAGGGGCCGCCCGCAGTCGTGGCATTTGGATTATGGCAGTGTTTACCACCGGTGCTGGTCACCCAGTGCTGTCACCACCCCCGGGGATTTCCAGGAAGCAGGGTTGCCATCTTTACTTACAGGTGGGGAAACGGCAGCTCAAACAGGGACAGCGTGCCCAGGCCACCTAGGATCACCTAGCCTGGTGATCGTCGTCCGTCTGTCTGTCTCAGCAATATTTGACAGAGCTGCCACTCTCCGGAGCCACCTCTCCTCTCACCCCCAGGACGTGGTGCTCCTGGTTTCCTGCCAGCCCTCCAGGCCATGGCTGCCCTTCCTGCCTCTTCCCTTCCTGAGGGCTGGCCCGGGCCGTTTTCTTCTCCTCACATGACCTCGCTCATCCACTCCCTTGGTAGTAAATATCCACGTGCTAGTGACCCTCAGAGGTGTTCCAGTAGGTTCTGAGCTCACTGCCTATCTGACAAACAGCTCCCACGTCACGAGTCCCAGGGACAAAGGAGTTCACAGTCCTTCGCCAGCACCCAGGGCCCGCGGCACCCTCCCGATGCTTCCAGCCACCCACCCCGACCTTCCCAAGTACCCCTGCCCACCCCTCCTCGTGAGGGCATCACCATCTACATCTCTGGGCAAGGCAGAAGCCACACAAAACAACACACCCAGTCATGGAGCCAGCAGGTGTTATGGAGGTTAAGGCACTGCACACCCACATGGCTAGCTTCACAGTTCAAATCCTGGACCCGGCAGCTTGAAAAATCACACCAGGAGCGTGTGCATGCATACCCAAAATACCAAGAAGAGACTGGAAGAGAAGGGACTGCGGTGTGTCCATTTCCCCTGGGGGGTGATTTTTCACTTTCCCTCCCACCCCCACCACCCCATGAACGCGCACACCCGGTGGCAAAAAAACTAAAAAGGAAAACCAAGTCCTGCACTTGCCCTGCGCTGTCTCAGGGTGCCTCGTAACTTCATTCCCTCCACCCCACAGCCGCCATCAGCTGTCTTTTTCTTTTATTTAACTTTATTTATTTATGTATGTGTTTATTTTAACCAGAGAGGGACAGAATGAGAGAGAGGGAACGTGAGAAAGTAAGCTGCTAGGTCCAGGACTCAAACTGCAGTCGGCCGTGTGGGAGTCCAGCGCCCTTAACCACCATGCCACCTGCCAGCCTCTCACCACCTGCTTTCACCTGGGCATCCTGGTCTCTCCCCTCTGCTTCATTCCCTTATTCCACTAGATACGCAGCCCAGGGACCCCCTCCTAACTGCAGCTGAGTCCTCCTGTGTTTGCCAGAGAGGGAGAAAGCACCCCCGGGGCGTGGCCACACTGCAACTCCTCCTTTCCTGCTCCCTTTGGGATTCTGGGCATGCACACATATGCACCCAGCATGTTTTTCTTTTTTTAGGAGAGGTTTTTGCTATAGGGCACGTGTGCTCGCCAGAAAGACAGAGACAGAGACAGAAAGTGAGAAATCACCCACTGGGGGAGTGGCCACCCCACAATCCCTTCTCCATTCTCCTCTCTGGATCTTGGGCACACACGCATACACGCCCGGAGTGAGTTTAAGCCACTGGGTCCAGAGTTCAAACCGCAGTCAACCACATGGGAGTCCAGTGACATAACCATTACGCCACCTGCTGGTCCCACACCCAGCATGTTTTTTTCTTTTTTTTTTTTTTTTTTTTTTTTGTGGTTTTCTCTATA